TTAATAACGTGACTGAATAGAGGTTTGAATATAAGGTGCACTGAACAATTCAGTTCGAGCTCCAAGGCTCTAAGGGGTAGGTTTTTTTGGGATTAATGGATGATTATGCACAGTATTTATAGTTCACCAGCTCGAGAGCTTAACTAATTCACTCTTAAGGAAATTTCTTGCTCCTGAATCTATTAATAATTGTGTGTTGTTTACAAAGAGTATTGTGTAAGACTACAATGACTATCTCCCCCACTCTCAAGAGTCTTGCCTCCTATTTATAATTAGTCCTGGACTTTGCTTGATCTAGGACAAGATTCTCGCCCTTTCCTTGTAACGGTTGTCTTTATTGCGCAATGAGATTTATGCCTGTTGTGTGTAACAGTTAGACACTATTATAAATATATTCGTTAATAAATTACACTTAGACTCTCTTAAAGTTTGTGGGTATATAATACTTAGACACTTTAAGTTTAAAAAATTATATTTAGGCAAAAAATACTCTAATCAAATATAAAATATAAAATATTTTAAATTTTACAACTAAAATTTATATTCTATTGTATTATTTATTCAAATAAAATTAAAAAAAAATAATTTTTTTAAAAAATATATATAATTAGTATACAATTATATTGTTTATTATAATTTAATTTAGTCGTTTAAACGACCAAATTAAAATACCAAACTACCCTAATTAAATCTAAAAGATTTTGTGTCAATCTAAAACTTTTATCAACACTAAAGAAAAATTGAAAAAATGAGGCTTCAATAATTGTCAAAGAAGAGCTGGCATTTTCATAAACATTTCAAATGATTTCAAGAATTTTTTTAATTTTAATTTTTTTATTTCAATTTTCAAGTCTCTATTTTGAAAATATTATCCCATCACATCTAGCTATCTAATCACAAGTGTGTCCATTTAAAAAGAAGAAAGATACTGAATTTAAATTTTCACTGAGCCGTCCCACAAAGTCAATCCTGGTTGTTAGTAAGCATACATTAAGTGCATGTCTATCACTTGTGGAGGATATCTAGTTGTATTGGACTGAATATGTTACGTTTCGACAATGATAATATTCGGTCTAAATTATGAGTCGAGTGAGATTCGTGCTTGACTCAAGACGTTGTAGATGGCTGAGTCATCTATGCCATCATAACTCGTTCGGATACAGTTTTGTGTTTTTTTGAATTTCATTCTATGTCCAATTTTGTTCTGTCTATCATTTTTTTTGTCCCGATTGCCTTGTACCATACCGCTGCAACTAATTGGTTAGTACTTACTTGGGGGCCTATGCAAACTTGCACTCCCTATTCCACCCCACCCTTTCGAATGAGAGATAATTATAGTGAAAATTAAAATGAAAAACAAATATTACCTGATAAGATGAGTTTTGACCATAACTATAATTTTCATCTCCTCCATTCATGGCATGCGATTTAGGCAATTTGATTGTTCTTTCATCTTCCATGCATGGTTTAAGGTCTTGGTCAATATTGATACTGACACGAATGGATTGTCCTAATGATGTATTGGCGTGTGGTGATAGGAGATCACACCACTCTACACCAATCACATGATGTGGGTGGCTCAATCTTGATTGTCTTGGCCCATGTAACATGGTATAGCGAGCAATGCCATGTTCCTCCACCGGATATGGCAAGACATGGCGGCCGATGGCAAGGGAAGTAGGAGGGAGAGAAGGAAAGGAAGAAATGGAAGCAAAAGAGTACATGTTTTTAATGTGTTGGAGTTGAGGCATCCACATTGCTCTATAAATAAGTGTGTTTCAACTCAAAAAACTATCTAATCAACAGACGAAAAAAAAATTAAAAAAAAAACCCTCAATTCAGAGTCCATAAGGCCCGCCACTGACTCTCAATTGACAAGGATTGATTTGTTCTCTTTCTAGGCGTTACTGTTGTGTAATACTATAATCAGTCAAATTATTCTTTTATCAAATTTCTTACACCAAATTAACATGGATTATTAAATTAATGTTGCTCAAAATCTACGTAAATATCTCCATTGACAGATAATTTTCTTATGTCCAAACAATTAGCCAGTTCTTTTTACAACTAATAGAAATCTGACAATCATAACTGTGCCACATCATAAATTTTGAACTTTTTATAGTGTGTATTGATTATAATCATGTTCTTGTACGGGTTATTATTCATCGAGTTGAGGCTATTCGGATCTAAACATTTGATTTGAATTTTGGATACAATGATACGATAGTTGACATGGTTTAATAGTAAAATCTGTAGTTATTGTTGTTGAAATTTTTATAAACATGTATTACTTGACACATCATTAGATTAGCATATTGAACCTAAAAAATTATAAATATATATACCCTTTGTACATGGTGTGGGTGCCAAGATCGTTGCACCCAAATTAATTGTCTTAGACTTGACACAACCAAAAAATTGTCGAGAAGGACAATAATTTTGAGAAGGACACTCTAACCTTCAATTATTAGCTACTGGATGATACTAAAAATCAAATCTTTACGAGCCGTAGATTTCGTTTTGATTTATTTATGATTGATTGTGAAAATAATAAAATAAAATAAAAAAGCAAAAATATAGAAACTCTATGCGTGTCTTATTTGCGATTGGTAGAAAATAGTTGGATCACTCGTTTCATGCAAAACAATTATAGGGTCCACTTCTTTTATTCAATCAGTGAGAATGTTGTACGTGTAATTTTTATTTTATTTTATTTGTATATTATATAATAAGGGCTCGTTTGATTGCATATTAAAAATAGATAAATTAGATAAAATAATCCAGTCTTAGATAATACGTAATTTTATCTAATATTTGACAATACACAACATAAACGTTAGATAATATTTATTTAATCTAATCGGTTGTTTAATTAGAAAATTATTCCATAGTATTAAAATTGAATTGACAAAAATACAATCAATCAATATTTGTTATTTAGCGTTGAGGTTGTCCAACAAAGATGTTTTTGGGCAATTGTTTTTTGAATGGATTTTTGTATCGTTAGATAACATTAGATAAAAATTATACTAATCTTGTCCGTTATTGTGTTTTTATAAATATACAATTAAAATAAGTAACATTAAATAAATATATTCACACAATCACATATACACTAATGATGCACAAAATAGTCTTGTGCAAGATAAACAGTCGAGTGTGTGACAGAGTATAAATAATTCACAGTAAATAAAGCAATTAATGACAGTAATATAAATATTGAGTCAACACACATATATATAGTAATTCGGTCCACGTGACTTACTCCACTTTAAAAAATGGCACGGTGGTCGGGGAAGAGAGCAATGGTTAACTTCGGGAGGTACAATAATTAGGAGAGACAAAAATTATATGTGTGTAGAGAGCTGTAGAGATAGATGTGAGACCCGATTATGCATTGCATACATATTATCATGATTATGTGTGCTAAATTGTAATTATGTACTTGCCCACTAGGAAAAATATTTTAATTTTACCAAGGAAAATTTCATTGCTAATAAAATAAAATAATTTTAATTTTTTTTTGAAAATTTTGTTAGTTTTGTCGACAAAATAATTTGTTAGTAAAATTGAAAAAAAAAATTATTTTGGATTCACTGGCGAAATTCTTTCCTAGGTAAAAGTTGATCAGTTGAGATTACGTCTTTCCCTCATCTTTATTTACCCTAAGCCATCGACTGCTTTACAATTCATCCACAACATTTGTCACTCAGATGGTCAGACTATCGTCTTCTTCAGAGATCGTCTTCTTCAACCTCTTTGCCAGCGACCTTGCTATCATCGATGATCTATTATAATCCATTTGCTAGGGCATAGATCTGTAAGTTTTAATGCTCGACCTCTCTCCAACTGATCTTTATAGATCCCCTTCTTCAACATTTAATTTGTCTACCATCAACGATATCTGTAGTAATCTTATTTTTTTTTTGCAATTTTGTTTTGTAGGATTGTGATGAAATCGAACAAGAAGGTTGTCGTTGTGCTCTTAATTAGAAAGAATTTGTTTACTGTGTGTTTTCCAATAGTATAGTTTAAGCAGTGTGGTTGTTTTATAGAAATCTTGTATGTTGAATTAAATTTAGGCACATGTCATTTATCTAGTCGTGTATTGAGTGAAATTGAAGGAAATAAATAATGGCGAGGATATGGATCCATTTTCTTATGTGCTTAACTCTCTCAATTCTCTCAATGTTGAAGCTTGTGTTTCTCCAAATAATTGGAGTTATTCACCAAAGCCATGCCTACCCTAACTTATTTTTTAAAATCAACTATTTTCAAACTTATTTTCCAAACCTAGTCATTTTTAGAAGATGTTGTTCCAAATGACACTATCATCGTTCAAAATGTCATTTGAAATGATGCCTTTCATTTCGATTAACGCATTTCATACATTACATATCAGATGTTAGGATTGATCCTAAATGCCTCAAATTTTTGTAGCTTGATCCTAAGAGTGGATAAAATTTTGTATGGGTTTTTGTCACTACTATCATGTGGTGTGGACATCCAATGAGAGGTTGCCAAAAAAACAGCTTGTAAGACATACAAGTTGGCCTTTTGAAAAGAAATTCTGACAAGAATAGGTGACAATTATTAATTGAGTATATTTAATATTTTGTGAGTGATATATACCTCATGATACTATCATGAAAAATATCAACCAATCCTAAGTTGTTCATGCACAGCACAATGATTTCACATTTAAATAGAACAGGAGTTGATTACTACGTCTTACATAGTCTGAGAAACTAAAATGAGACAACTTGAAGTTATATAAAGAGTTAATATTATTTTTGATCCCTAAAATATCTATTTTTTGTTATTTTAATTCTTATTGTATCAATTTTATCAACTTTGTCCTTGAAGTGTTTAATTTGTGTCACTTTAAAGATAAAATTGATACAATGAAAACTAAACATTAAAAAAAATACATACGTTAAAGACCAAAAGTATTATTAACCCTTAAATAAACATTTTAAAACTGACCCTTATGATCACTAGAGTGAATCATTCTGTGAGGACTCGCTTTTACGCTTAAGGAGGACTAACATAAAAATGGATTTATCATTGTCTGGATTCATGGTGAAGGAAGACTCGGCAACTTTCTTGGAATAACGTTCGAACAGTTCATCCATGATATGACTTCCGAAATGATTCTCCAAAAGTCCCTCGAAGCAAGCCCTCAAGAACAGTGTGCGATGTCTGACACTAGGCATGGCGACATGTTTCGGAGGGTTGTTCAGGATCTCCATTCTCTCTATGCTGAAGCTTGTGTTTGCCTCTATCGATGCCTCCAATTCCTCAATGGGTGGAAAATATGAAGGTAAGTTGAAGGAGTCTACTTTTGCTTCACTGAATGATCCCTACAATATCATTTGCATCAATTAATATATGAAAAATTGTAATTTTTAAATGAATTCTTCATTGAATGATCCCTGAAGATCGGTTGGTCTTCGTTCGACGTCTATGTCACAGGTTGATGTATTAAGATACTCTTCAATACACTTTCATTCAATTATTGAGTGAAATTGAATGAACTTGCAATGGAGGAAATTTGGATTCTTGGTTAATCGTAAAAAAAACCTAGAAATAGGAGGAGAAAAACAACTGAATGCAAATAGAGCTGAGGACCACAATGACACAATGCAAAGAATGAGGACCACAATGACAAAAAGGAAGCATTACTATATTTTGCACAAATTATAATGAGCAATGCTATTTGAACCTAATTTATTTATTTAATTTGTTGACCTCAGACTATCTCTTGTCTTTTTTCAAACCCTTACCTGAATTTATGTAAAAAAACTTGATTTGATATAGACTTTTCCAATTTACAAACTTTTTTTGTATTCAAACTTTTTTAAAAAATTCTCATGTTATCCCAATAACTCTTTTTTTACACAAAATATGTATATATAGCAATTCCCGTGTCTAAAGGCACGATGTTACTCATAAATTAGTTACAAATATTTTTTCATACATAAATGTAAAATAAAATACAATATTGTAATAAACGACGAATAAAATAAATCCGCTAATATTTTTTTATAACATCAACCTACATGCAAAATTATGTTAATTGTTACGCCACGAAATTATATTATAACTACAGAACCATAATAATTCAAACATCTGAAAAATTATATTAATTGACAAAATTCAATGTTCTGTTTTTAATTCAAAATCCACGATTTTAATATTTATAATCAATTTTATCTAAATAATAACAGAATTGATAACTAATATAATGAAAATTAAAACAATACTCTCACAAATAAACTAAGTCTGCAGATGTTGTCAAATGACCAAATATAACTATAAAAAATTCAACCGACTTTCAAAGATACGACCTGATTGTTGAATGTGTAAGATTCGAGTTTATAGTAGTGTTTTTAAATTTATATTATTCTTCCTGGTTATTTATATTCTTAGTATATTTTCTTAAACTAAATGTTATTTAATATTGGATTATTTAGTAAAGATTGTTGTTTTGTGTTGTTCACTAAATATTAAATTTGTATGATTCGTATTCATAGTATTGTTTATAATTTTGTATCGTTTCTCTCGCTTGTAATTTTGTATCATTTTTCTCGGATATTTAGATTTTGATTATTTAGTAAATATTGTTGTTTTGTGTTGTTCACTAAATATTGAATTTGTATGATTTGTGTTTGTATATGAATTTAATCTTGTATATTTCAAATGTTAAACATATTTTCTTTAATATATTTCTTGATATCTAAGTTGCCCAATAAGTTGAGTTTAATCTCGTATATTTTACATGTTAATCATATTTTCTTTGTTAAATTAGATTTTTTGTAAGTTATGGTTTTTTTTATTGATTATGGAAAAAATAAAATTGACTATTGAATTTGTATAATTTGAGTTTATAGTAGTGATTTTAATTTTATATCATTCTTCTTGGTTATTTATATTCTTAGTATATTTTCTTAAACTAAACGTTATTTAGTATTGGATTATTTAGTAAAGATTGTTGTTTCGTATTGTTCACTAAATATTGAATTTGTATGATTCGTGTTCATAGTATTGCTTATAATTTTGTATCGTTTCTCTACTTGTAATTTTGTATCATTTTTCTCGGGTATTTAAATTTAGATTATTTAGTAAATATTGATGTTTTGTTTTGCTCATTAAATATTGAATTTGTATGATTCATGTTTATATATGAATTTAATCTTGTATATTTTACATGTTAAACATATTTTCTTTGTTAAATTAGATTTTTTACAAGTTATATTTTTTTTATTGATTATGGAAAAAAATAAAATTGGCTATTGAATTTATATGATTCGTGTTTGTAGTATTGCTTGAATGAAAGAGAGAGATACAGAGGAATATTTTCGTAATATACTATCTATCTAATATTTATTACATAATTTTCTTTTAGAGAGAGATATAAAAGAATATTTTCGTAATATACTATCTCTCTCTGTGATATATATTATTTATCTACAGAGAGATATAATATTTGCTTGAATTAGGCACTATAATATTTTCGTGATATTTTTGTGAGATACAGAGAGAGATATAGAAAAAAAATATTGTGAAAAATTGATTCTTTTTGCTTGAATTGAGCGTGAAAGAAAAATACAGAGAAATGAGAGAGAGAGAGAGAGAGAGAGATTGCTTGATTTAAGAAAAAGATTTAAGGGAATTAAATTATGGAATATCAATTTTGAAAAATATAAATTTTGAGCAACAAAAATATTTCAAAAGAGTTAATGTGGTACGTCAGATTAAAAAGATCTGAGACGTCAATAACTTGAGACAGTTTGAGATAAGACAGTCCATTGGATGATGATTTTTTTTAGTTACGAAACGATCTGGGCCGCTCTTTGTCTCTAAAATTCAAAATCGTTCTACTTTATTATATAGATATCTATATTTTGAAAGTACATAGATTCCTATTTAGATGTGTATATAGATTTTTATATGTACTGCGTTTGTGACAAAACGAGAGAGAGAGAGAGGAGGGGTCCACCGGCGAACACAAAGTTGAAGCGGCGTGAGCAAATTTTTTACGTTAGATTTTTAGGTTTAAATTTTGAGTCTCCTTTGATTTGGGTTTAAAATAAAGTCTCTCTTCATTTGTTATATGTTTAGGTATAGGACTCGAGAAGGTTTTTGGTCTCTTGTTACCCTTTTTAAATTTGGGTCTAAAAATTATAAGGACCGGTGATGCTCTAATTCATTAGCTCTTAGATTGATTGTAAATCCCATAAAATATTATAGTTTGGTGTCGAACGGTTATAATGAAATCACATAAGGAGATCAATAGATTAAGTCAAATTTTAGGTCTAAATAACTTTAATTAATTATAATTTGAAAATATTTCTTACCATCTTGGCCATATCCATGAGGCAAGATCCGAGAAGATCGATCTCAGTCCCAATGGTTGTCTCAGAAGAGGTCATAACATTAGGGACAGCAGGAACCAAAAGAGCCATTAGCCCTCCACCCACAAGCTCTTCTGCTCTTGCATGCAAGAATGCTTCCAAGTCTTTTGCGTATTGAAGTGCATAAGCCTCAGAAACTTCCTTTCTGGCTCCTGTATAGTGAATTCTTCCCTTATTCCACGCCGGAGAGTTACTGTCCAGAATCTCTTCCGGCAATTCGGAGATCCAACACAATGAAGAAGAGGAGAAAGCAAAGTGAAGGGAGGCCTTGGGAAGTACTCGGCCGTAGAAAGAGCCAGCCACTCCGGCAGCACGGTATCGTCTTTCAGGTGGAAGAGATTGGAAAAGGGTGTTGAAATCATTCAGGACATGGTCATTGAAGAACACCTGCATGTGTTGAAGATAAGATCAAGTGTGACATGATGCCAAACAGATTTCAGATTCTTGTTTATATCAATGTGATTATCTTCATCCTTTATATGGAACTAGGGATAACTCGTGCCTGAAGGCACAGTAAGTGAGAACTGCTAGATTTGGAAGGAAATTCAATCTGAATAGTTTTAAGAGAGAAGTTAGTGGTCGTTAGATGAGTCTATTTAAGACCGTCATATAAATTTATTGAAATCTGTCATGTTTTATATTATAAATATAACCCATTTAATCTAAGTACCAAACCAAGACAAGAATTTATAATGTGTCCTCACTTTAATGTGTGTGTATAAAGCTTACGTGAAACATTTTTGGTGCCTTGTTGGTCACGTAGGGTGTGTGAGAGTGAGTTGAGGAGAATGTGTGAGGGAGGGATGTTTAGGGAAGAAAAATATGAGTGAGAGACAACGAATCATGGGTATTTTTAGTCCCTAAAGTATGCGTGTAATGTCTATTTGATCTCTAATTATCCAATTATGTTTATTTAATCTCTAAAGTTCCAAATCTGTATCTATGTGATCCAATCTCAAATATCCATAAAAAATTGTTAATGTATTTGGTTATGCGTCAATCAAATGGGACCAAATAAACATAAATTAATAACTTTAAGGATCAAATAAACACAATTAAAAATCACGTAATTGGAGCATGACCAGAACCGTCACGATTTTCTTATGGACGTTTGGAATTGGACCACTTAATTATAAATTAAGAACCCTAGCAACCAAATAGACACAATTGGAAGATTGGGGACCAAACAAACACTAAACACATATTTTGGAAACTAAAAGTGTATTTTAACCTAAATTAATTAATAGTAATAGACTACTAATCAACTACTAATAAAAAATTTGGACATCAATCTCTTTTTCTTAGTAATGTAACCTACTAAACTTTGGTCCGTGGATATAAGTTTTCCATACTGAACAATGTAATTCTTTCGTGTTCTTAAATTCTTTGATTAATTTTCTTTTATATTTTAATTTTATAAACCTGAAATTCAGGGAGTTGGGCTGTTGGTTTTTCTGATTTGAACTTTTGCTCCACGGCTTCAAGTATGACCTGCACTGCCAGAAGTGTGTTGGGTCCTGTAGAGCACCCGAAATCTGCAATGCAAAATGGGTTTATAGAAGAAGATGAAGAAAGCTGTTTTATGAAAAGTTTCGCTGCAACTCCTTCCTTAATGAGTTCCTTCGCAGCATCCACTGCTCCCCTCTGAAAAAAAATTTGGTCAATATTAATCGATTCACTAAATAATTTTATGAGTGTCAATTGAGTCTTATCGTATCATCTTCAGAACTGACTTAAAAAAACCTCCATTTTTATTTGATTTG